GAAGTCTAAAGGCGTGCTTCCCTCCATTTTACTTTGGTTTAATTTTAAAAATCCATTTAGAACAGAAGTTAAGGTGGGCCCCCTGTCAAATGGTTTGCCGAATTGCCGGACCCCCATGTGCTAATGACACCAAACGAAACCGCTCCGCTCCATCTCCGTTCAAATTGAATGTCTGCCTTTCCCTTTCGCTTGCATTTCCCCATAACAAAGCGCGTTTGACTTTAAAAGCTTCAGTGGATCTAAGAAGCCATTACTTTATTATTTGTATAAAATACAAATATAAAGACTAAGATATTAACGTGGAATTAGGGTTTAGGATCAAATTTATTTATTTATTTTTAAAATAATTTTAATTTTTTTAATTAAATTTGAAAATTAAATTAATTACAATTTTAATCTATATACAAAAATTTAAATAAAGAATTAAAAATATATAAAACAGACCATTTTATTTTATAAATTATTAAAATTTTTAATTTAATAATTTAATATTTAAAAATTTTATTGAATGATTTTATTTAATTTATTTAAATATAAAAAATTAAAATTTAATTTAATTTAATTATATTTTATTATTCAATTAAGTCAAAAATAATTAAATTAAATTTCATCGATTAAAATTTTAAATTAATAAATTTGATTTAATTAATAAAAATAAAATAATATATTTCTATTAATTTAAATTTAAATAATTTAATTAAAAAATAATCAAATTAACATATAATAATTTTTATTTTATTAAACAAGTCCAAATAAATGAGAAACAGCCTCTATACCAACAATTAAAAATTCGTTTATTTAAACAAAATGCTATATTCTCAAAATTCACAAATTTAAATAACTATCAATCTAGAAACGGATAGGTAAACCAATTAAATGATACTATTGAACTACGTTTTGTTTTTCTCATTCCTTTTCGAATTTAATTAGATCATCAATTTCAAAACTCAAATTTTTAATGTTTTCTTTAAACTTAAGCGTTAAGCTTCTATTATTTTTAACTTTGTAATTAAGTTTCATACTTATATGTATGTTTATATTAGTAGTCAATATTCTTCATTATTTTTTTTGACCTAAAATTTTTAGTATCTAGTAGATACTTTGGATCTCAACTAATCCGAAATCAAGTTAAGTCAAACTCTATAAGGAGGATAAATTTTTTTTAAGTCTATTTGCTTCATTCACAAAACTGAAAATCAAAACCTTACTTAAGGATAATCGAACTTCTTGCCGATATTCTTCATTATTTAATATTCTTTACGGAAAAAGCATTACATTTTTAATAAGGAATAAGCATTATTAAGCATATCCAACTTGGTAATATTTCTAAAAGAAAGCGAATAAAAATCTAACCACATTCAAATATATCAAAACTAGTTGGACATGGAATTTGTAAAATTTTAATATAAATAAATTAATAATGAAAATAATTAAAAACGGTTTTAAATAGAAACTAGAAAAATGCTTTAACTTATATAAACAAATTATTATTTAAAATTTAACATAACAAAAAATAATTCATTATGAAAATTATTCAAATTTAATATTATCTTACATTTTAATCTAAATTTATTACCTTAAAATCATAACAAAATATTTCAAAACGTGGAATAATATTTTTTGAAAAAAGATAAAATCTAACAACGTATGTGAATGATACATACCACATATCTTAAGTGAATAATCACCATTTTAATAAAACAAAAAAAAAGTTTGATTTAATGGATGATCATGACATTGGTTAAGGATTACTTAATTTCTATTTTTTAAAAAATTGCAATTAATGCTTATTTTATTAAATTTTAAAAGGAACAATGCTTTAATTGCTATTTTTCTCTTAATAGCACCTTAATCGCTTTAACTTTTACCAAAATTAAATGCAATTGTATATAATAAACAATTGTATAAAAAAATAATTAAATGCACATTTACATGGTAGTAAAGTATAAAAACACATATTAACAAATTTGTATAGTTACACATGCTAGTGAATGAACATTATGTACTATAATTTTGTACCAAAATTATATACTTTTTACATGATATAATTTAAATACACTAGATTATAACTCATGCGATACATGAAATATTTTATTTTATTTAATATGAATATATATATATATACATATACAAATTAGTTTTTTTTAAATTATATTCAAATCTTTAAAACTCATAATATATATAAAAATTATATATATTGACTTGTAATTAAAAAATAAACTTTATGAAAACAGCAAAAAAAAAATATGTCTTCTCTTTAGATATTTTTGTTTATTATAATGATTATACATCTGTAAAATTATATCAAATAAAAATAATTATGTCTTTCTAAAAAAATAAAATATATATTATTGAATGATAAATTAAATAATAAAAGAAATATTAACACATTTTCACTTTAGTAATCTTGACTAAATTATTATACAAAATATTAAAAATGTTAGAAAATATGTGAAAAAAAAAAATAAATTGAAAAAAAATTATTTTTCATAAAAATTGTAATAGTAATATAATATATTTTAGAAAAAAAATGTTAATAAAAAAATTAAAAAAATTAATGTATAACACATTACATTTGTAGTCTTAAATTTTAAAAGAATTTTTAATGGCAATTAGGATTAAATAGATCATTTTTAAATTAATTTTTTAAAATTTAAAATGGATATAATAAGTGATAAATATAATATTAAATTTTTTGCATTTATTTGAAATATATATTTGATAATTAGAGTTCAAATGGATATAATCATTTTGATAATCTTATTATTTAAAAATTTAAGATGAAAATTTTTTAAAATTTCAAAATATTACATAAAATTGCTTGAATTTTTAATGTCTTACGTAAAGTTTTAAAAAGATAATTTTTTAAATTAAGATAAAAAAGATTGTTGAAAGATTTGAATAAACTTAATCTTTATAATTTTTAAACATGTTTGAAACATTTTGATAATTAAATAAATTTTTAAATAATGTTATTTGGTAAACAACTAAAATTATTTATTAAAAAAATAAAATCCATATTTCATATTTTTAATTTTAGAATATATATCTTTAAATTTATTTTATTTTTAATTATAGTTTGAATAATTTTGATATTTGAATAAATTTAAAATTATCTAATTTATAATTAAAAAATTATTTTATTCTTGTAAAAAATTATTCTATGTGTCGTTTAAGAACGTTGCCCACATAAACGTCTATGTGATTAACTTATTTATGTATGTTGTTATAATATATATATATATATATATATATATATATATGATTAGTAAAGTGTGTGAGAACTTTCAAAATTTATATTTGTTAAATGAGATATTAAATAATAAAAAATAATAATATTTGAAGAATTTAAGGCACTTATTAATGTAATCAATTAATTAAAATTTTTAAATATTTTTATTTTGCATGTAATTAGATGTAAATATATAATTTGATAATATCCATATCTATCAATATTAGAGATTTGTGTTCTCTAAATAACTTAAATTTTAGTAAGTTTATTATAGTGCGTCAATTTAAATATTTTTAATTTAAATTAGCTTAAATAAGTATCCTTCAATGTTCATTTCATGAAATTAATTTTAGGTAACACATCGTGAAATTCTAATATTTTGGTTGAAATTTATTTATATTTAGTTAGCTATTAAATGTTAAAATTATACTAAAAAGATCACATTGATTTATGACAATGAAATGAAAATAATTTATTATTTATTGTAAAAAAATTTAATGATAAATAATTATAATTAAATTAATAAAAATAAAATGATATGCGCAATTCTAAAGCTAAAAATATTATAAAACAGATTAATTTTAATGGCTAAATTAATTTTAAATTAATAATAATTTACAAAAACATTTGTTTTTTTTATCTAATAACTAAATTTTGGTAATATACGCTCACAGGTCAGCTATTTGGAATGCCATTGTTTTTTTTTTTTTTTAGATTTTTGGTTTTTTTAATTTTTTCCTTTTACTTTAAAAACATTTAATAAATATTTATTTTAAATTACAAAAATATATACTTTAGAAGATTGTATTTTTATGTATAGGACTCTTAAAGCTTTTTTTAAAATCAATTTTTGGGATCCACTTAAATACTGTACTGTTAACACTACCGTTATAGCGTGCCATTTCAAGGGTTTTTTTTTTTTTTATGTATAAATTTTTTTTACCTCTTTTAGGATTTTTTAGCGTTTCCTTTTAAATAATTTTGTGAATGTATTTAAAATTATAAAAGTATATATTTCTTACAAATTTATTTTTAATATTTGGGAACCCTTATATCAAATTTGCTTCTTTTTTTTTGTTTTTGTTTTTTTTTAATTTTTAAATTTAAAAAATTAGAATTTATTTTTTAAAACCCATTTCATACCTTTAATATGTCATATGTTTATTTTTTAATTTAATCATTTTAAAAAAAATATATTTACATATGTGTTAATATTAAACTTGGATTTTTTTTGTAACGTGTCACGTTTATAATTTTTATTTTTGTTTTTTATTAATTAGATAGATTTTATAAAAAAAATTACTGATTAGAAATGATAAAACAAAAAAAAAAAATGATTCATGATAAGGTGCGAAAATTTCACCTAGTATATTTTAACTTTGGTAATATATAAAAGTTTAAATATTTTTAAATTTTAAATATAAATATTTGAACTATTTTGAATTTAAATAAATTTAAAAATTATCTTCCATTGTCATTAAAAAAATTGTTCATGTAAATATAATATTTTATTCAATAATCTTATATCTTATAATAATATAATTATAAATATAATATATATTTATTATTTATATGGTTTTCACTTATCTGCCAGTCCCCCACTTTTATATTTTTAAATTTTGTTGAGAATGTACGCAAAGGAGAGTAAAAGAGATTGAAAAGAGATCAACAAGACAAAACAGCAAAAAGGACAAAAAAACAGACTTGCACAACAGAAAAAGAAAAATGGTTAACGCTTCAAAATATTAACACTAAAAGGAAAACAAACATAAAAAATTAAACGCGCAGTAAAGCTGGCCAATCCTTCTATATCCGATCCATTTTCACTAACCTTTTCCAAAAAAAGAAACAAATCTAAACCCGCCACCTCCTCCTCACGAATACCTAGTTGCATTTTCTTGTTTTTCTTTTAATGCGATGTCTCTACGTTACCATCCCGGGCCTCCGTCGGGACCGCCCCGAACCGCTTCGCCTGAAGATGAACCTTACAACATAATCCCCGTCCACAACCTCCTCGCCGACCACCCTTCCCTCCGTTTCCCTGAAGTACGCGCCGCCGCTGCCGCTCTACGCGCCGTTGGAGATTTACGGAAGCCACCTTATGCACAATGGCACCCTGCCATGGATCTCCTGGACTGGCTGGCTCTATTCTTCGGTTTCCAGCACGACAACGTCAAGAACCAGAGGGAGCACCTCGTCCTCCACCTGGCCAACGCCCAGATGCGGCTCTCCCCTCCGCCGGATAACATTGACACACTTGATGCTGGCGTCCTCCGTAGATTCCGCCGAAAACTCCTAAAAAACTACACTAAGTGGTGCTCTTATTTAGGCAAGAAGTCGAACATATGGATCTCCGATAGCAGCCGCTCCAACTCTGATCAGCGGCGTGAGTTACTCTACGTGGGGCTTTATTTGTTGATATGGGGCGAATCTGCGAATCTCCGTTTCATGCCTGAATGCATCTGCTACATCTTCCATCACATGGCCATGGAATTAAACAAGATTCTCGAAGATTACATCGACGAAAACACTGGTCAGCCTGTTATGCCGTCGATATCAGGGGAAAACGCGTTTTTGAAATTTGTCGTGAAGCCGATCTACGAGACTGTAAAGTCAGAAGTTGAGAGTAGCAAGAACGGAACGGCGCCGCATACTGCTTGGAGGAATTATGATGATTTGAATGAGTATTTTTGGAGTAATAGATGTTTTCAGAAACTCAAGTGGCCGATTGATGTGGGCAGTAATTTTTTTGTTATTTCTAGTACAAGTAAACATGTTGGGAAAACTGGGTTCGTTGAGCAGAGGTCGTTTTGGAATCTTTACCGGAGTTTTGATAGGCTTTGGGTGATGCTGTTTTTATTTCTTCAGGCTGCGATTATTGTAGCTTGGGAAGGGAAGGAGTATCCATGGCAAGCGTTGTCAAGGAGGAATGTTCAGGTTAAGGTATTGACAGTGTTCATTACTTGGAGTGGGATGAGGTTTTTGCAGTCTTTATTAGATGCAGGGATGCAGTACAGCCGTGTTTCAAGAGAAACCTTAGGGCTTGGCGTTAGAATGGTGTTAAAGGCGGTTGTTGCTGCTGCTTGGATTGTGATTTTTGCGGTTTGTTATGGAAGGATCTGGACGCAGAGGAACCATGATAGAGAGTGGACCGCGGAGGGTAACAGGAGGGTGGTCCTTTTTCTACAAATTGCATTTGTTTATGTGTTACCGGAGTTATTGGCATTGGCTTTATTTGTGCTTCCTTGGATCAGGAACTTTATTGAGGAGACCAATTGGAAAATATTTTACCTATTGTCTTGGTGGTTTCAGAGTAAGAGTTTTGTTGGTCGAGGATTGAGGGAAGGGCTAGTTGATAATATTAAGTATACTCTGTTTTGGGCACTGGTTTTAGCTACGAAATTTGCATTTAGTTATTTCTTGCAGATTAAACCGATGATTAAACCGACCAAACAATTGTTGGATCTTAAGGATGTGAATTATGAGTGGCACGAGTTTTTTGGTGGTAGTAACAAATTGGCTGTTGGTTTGTTGTGGTTGCCTGTCGTGTTTATTTACTTGATGGATATCCAGATTTGGTATTCAATTTATTCCTCCTTTGTGGGGGCGGGAGTGGGTTTATTCCAGCACTTAGGTGAGATTAGAAACATCCAGCAGTTGAGGCTGAGGTTTCAGTTCTTTGCGAGTGCAATTCAGTTCAATCTGATGCCAGAGGAGCAGTTATTGAATGCTAGAGGAACGTTTAGGAGCAAGTTTAATGATGCTATCCACCGGTTGAAGCTGAGATATGGGCTCGGGCGACCTTACAGGAAGCTTGAATCAAACCAGGTTGAGGCTCACAAGTTTGCTTTGATATGGAATGAGATAATTTCCATTTTCAGGGAAGAAGACATAATCTCTGATCATGAAGTTGAGCTACTAGAGTTGCCCCAGAATTCTTGGAATGTCAGTGTTATTCGCTGGCCATGTTTTTTGCTATGCAATGAGCTGTTGCTTGCTCTCAGCCAGGCAAAAGAGTTGGTGGATGCTTCTGATAAATGGCTTTGGTATAAAATATGCAAGAATGAGTACAGACGTTGTGCTGTGATTGAATCTTATGACAGTATCAAGCACATGATGCTTGAAATCCTGAATGTCCAGTCTGAGGAGCGTTCCATTCTCACTGTTTTGTTTCAAGAAATTGATCATTCTATTGAGAACGAGAAGTTCACCAAGACATTCAAAATGACTGCACTACCCCAGATTCATATGAAGCTGATAAAACTTGTTGAGATATTGACTAAGCCCAAGAAGGATGTGAACCAGGTGGTAAATACATTGCAGGCCCTTTATGAGATCGCTGTCCGAGATTTTATCAAAGACAAGAGGACCATTGAACAGCTACGGGAGGATGGGTTGGCGCCTCGTGACCCTGCTGCCATGGCAGGACTGCTGTTTGAAAATGCTATTAAGTTGCCTGACCCCAGTGACCAGAAGTTCTATCGGCAGGTTAGGCGCTTACATACAATTCTTACCTCCAGGGATTCTATGCATAATATTCCAGTTAATCTTGAGGCAAGACGTCGAATTGCATTCTTTAGCAACTCACTCTTTATGAATATGCCTCATGCACCCCAAGTAGAGAAGATGATGGCTTTTAGTGTCCTTACGCCTTACTACAATGAAGAGGTGCTTTACAGCAAAGAACAGCTCCGAACAGAGAACGAAGATGGGATTTCTATCCTATATTATTTGCAGACCATATATGATGATGAATGGAAAAATTTCATGGAAAGAATGCAGCGAGAAGGAATGGTAAAGGATGATGAGATATGGACAACCAAGATGAGAGATCTGAGGCTCTGGGCATCTTACAGAGGCCAGACACTTTCACGCACTGTCAGAGGAATGATGTACTATTATAGAGCTCTGAAGATGCTCGCTTTTCTTGATTCTGCATCAGAGATGGATATTAAGGAAGGTGCACGAGAACTTGGTTCTATGGGGAGAGATGGTGGTTTGGATAGTTTCAACTCTGAGAGGTCACCTTCTTCCAGGAGTTTAAGCAGAGCAAGTAGTTCTCTGGGTCTGCTATTCAAAGGCCATGAGCAGGGCACCTCTTTGATGAAATACACGTATGTGGTTGCCTGCCAGATATATGGTGCTCAGAAGGCCAAAAAGGATCCACATGCTGAAGATATCTTGTATCTGATGAAACACAATGAAGCCCTTCGAGTTGCCTATGTTGATGAGGTTTCGATGGGGAGGGATGAGAAGGAGTATTACTCTGTTCTTGTGAAGTATGATCAGCAATTGCAGAAGGAGGTGGAAATCTATCGTGTCAAGTTGCCTGGTCCATTGAAGCTTGGAGAGGGCAAACCAGAGAATCAAAACCATGCCTTTATCTTCACCCGTGGTGATGCGGTTCAAACTATTGATATGAACCAAGACAACTATTTTGAGGAGACACTGAAAATGCGCAATCTCTTGGAGGAATACAGGCACTACTATGGTATTCGAAAGCCCACTATCTTGGGAGTCAGGGAACACATTTTTACTGGTTCTGTTTCATCACTTGCTTGGTTTATGTCAGCTCAAGAAACAAGTTTTGTTACTTTGGGACAGCGTGTATTGGCAAATCCTCTGAAAATTCGAATGCATTATGGCCATCCAGATGTCTTTGACAGGTTTTGGTTTTTGACTCGGGGAGGGATCAGTAAAGCTTCCAGAGTGATTAATATTAGTGAGGACATTTTTGCTGGCTTTAATTGTACTTTGCGAGGAGGCAATGTCACTCATCATGAATACATCCAGGTTGGTAAAGGAAGAGATGTTGGGTTGAATCAAATATCCATGTTTGAAGCCAAGGTTGCTAGTGGGAATGGTGAGCAAGTTCTCAGCAGAGATGTCTATAGACTGGGTCATAGACTGGATTTCTTCAGGATGTTATCATTCTTTTATACTACTGTGGGATTTTTTTTCAATACAATGATGGTCATTCTTACTGTATATGCTTTTCTGTGGGGCCGACTTTATCTGGCTCTTAGTGGTATTGAGAATGCTGCCCTATCTAACAACAGCAACAACAATAAAGCCCTTGGTGCCATCTTAAATCAGCAGTTAATCATTCAACTTGGTCTTTTCACTGCCCTCCCAATGATAGTGGAGAATTCCCTTGAGCATGGATTCCTTCAAGCTATCTGGGATTTCTTGACAATGCAGCTTCAGCTTTCATCAGTTTTCTACACATTCTCCATGGGAACCCGTACTCACTTCTTTGGCCGGACTATCCTTCATGGTGGTGCAAAGTATAGGGCAACTGGCCGCGGTTTTGTTGTGCAGCACAAGAGTTTTGCAGAAAATTACAGACTGTATGCACGCAGCCATTTTATAAAGGCTATTGAGCTTGGTCTCATACTTACAGTTTATGCATCTCACAGCCCCGTAGCTAAGGACACGTTTGTTTACATAGCTATGACTATCTCAAGTTGGTTTCTGGTCCTATCATGGATTATGGCCCCTTTCGTCTTCAATCCTTCTGGTTTTGATTGGTTGAAGACTGTTTATGATTTTGATGAATTTATGAACTGGATTTGGTACCGTGGTGGTGTGTTTGCACAGGCTGAACAGAGCTGGGAGAGATGGTGGTATGAGGAGCAGGATCATCTCAGAACAACTGGCCTCTGGGGAAAGCTACTGGAGATAATTTTAGACCTTCGGTTTTTCTTTTTCCAGTATGGGATTGTATATCAGCTGGGTATTGCTGCTCATAGTACCAGTATTGCTGTATACTTTCTGTCTTGGATCTACATTTTTGTGGCATTTGGAATTTATCTGATAATCTCATACGCTCGGGACAAATATGCCGCTAAGGAACATATATATTTTCGTCTGGTTCAGTTCCTGGTCATCATTCTTGGAATACTTGTTATAATTGCACTGCTTGAGTTTACATCCTTTAAATTTATTGACATTTTCACCAGTTTATTGGCTTTTATTCCCACTGGCTGGGGACTTATATCAATTGCCCAAGTGCTTCGGCCCTCTCTGCAGTCTACCACGCTTTGGGATTCTGTGGTTTCTGTGGCTCGGCTATATGATATACTGTTTGGAGTTATTGTAATGGCCCCTGTGGCATTTTTGTCATGGATGCCTGGGTTTCAGTCAATGCAGACAACGATCTTATTTAATGAAGCATTTAGCCGGGGTTTACGGATCTTCCAGATTGTTACAGGAAAAAAATCTAGCGACTTGTAATTTGAGATAACTTATCAGCACTTACTAGTTGGATTCATAGTTCACTTTTGTCCAGATATATATATATATATATGTATATATATATTATAATTATTCTGTTGTCTGATTATTTATTTATTTACTAGTTGAAATGCTAATGGTAATCAGTGATTAGACTTATACTTTTGCGTAATGCTGTTTGACTAGGTTCACTTATGTATTTTGTTTCTTTTCCAAAGTTTTGATTTTATATTTCCTAAGTGAGAAACAGTGAATGGTTCTTGTCAATTCATACTTCTGCTTCCTTGTTCATAACTGTCTTTTAAAACTCTGAATTCCATTCAATTGTCTATTTCTCATTTATTGCTAATTTTTTGTGTTATAATGTATATTAGATGCCTTGAGATTTTTTCTTTTGTTCTTTCAGCAAATGGATTCTGATTGTATAGAGTATGGACTTCGATGTTTTTATGGTTCTGCTATTGCATAGGCCATCGCATTTTTTTCCTTTCCATTTTTGGTCTTGGCAGTTAGTATTCATCTCCTATGTTTCATTTATTGGAATAAGTTAGGGCTGAGGTGGTTCTTGCTGTATCTTAAGCTCTGCTAGTTGGGTTATGTTTTGAATTTGACTTGTTATGCCGCAGGCTGCAAATAATCTTTATTGGATGGTGGAAATTGGGGGGTAGGAGGTTTATAGAGTTTTTATTTCTTTCTTTCTTGCCATGGATACAGAAATTTTTGTAGCTTTTTGCTATTAAAGATTTATTGTCTACTGAATATTTGTCTTTTTGTTTAATCATGGCCATGCATTGCCTTTCCATATGGTCTCTCAAAGACTGAAATCACAATAAGGTGTCTTGCCTCTCAGGTTTGTTCTGTTTTGGGTCCACTCTCCTCTGTTTAAGGTGCTTCCTTTTGTCTACCTGAGAAATAATCTGTGTCACATTCCAGATTGCCATTAGGGATACCCTGAATTATTGAGGTCAAAGTACTCAAAACAAAAATTGTGTATAACACATTGTGTATCAATTGAATCCTGCTATTGCTGTGTAGTTTTAGAAGAAACTAGCAGAATGCCGGAGCACTGCTGCGGGACAAATTATTCATGCCTTTTACTTTAAAAAATTGTATTAATAAATATATAAATAATATACAAATAACATATAAATGAGTAAATAAAAAATATAAATGAGTAAAAAATTATAAATATATAAATAACAAAATATATGCGTATTATGATAATAATAAATACAAAAAATATAAATTAAGGTTAATGAAAAAAACCAAACAATAACTTTGAATCGAGGTTATCTTGTATCCAAAAAAAAAACCTGTTTACTTACAGGTTACATAAAGAACAAATCACTTATAATAGGATTTGACAATTGACAACTAAGTTAACAATATTTAAGCCCGTTTGTAATTTTATTTGGTATCTTAGATTTTTGGTGATAATTGATAGGGATAAAAGCTTTAGCTCTTTGGACTATTATTGATTCAATCTTGCCCAAGAACAGTAAAGAATAAGGATGAGGAAAATGATCTAAATCAAAAGTAGAGAAAATTCATATTTATATTCAAGCAAGATAATATGCTCAATTCAAGCAATAAAGTAGCATTTATTGCCAACGAAGTTGATAAAGAAACCAATGGTTCAGGCAGACATCTTGGCGCTAGAGATGTTGATGGCAAACAAATTAGATTGATACAACGCATTAGGAAAATATGTATAGCTACATTAGAAAGTGAACTAATAAAATGCAAACCAATCGATATAGCTGTAATTACATAAAATTAGCATTATGCTTCAAGTGTCTTCTCTTTTCCATCTCATGCATAAAAGACATATTATTCTAATTTTCAAATATGCAAGCTCAGTAAGAGAACACTAATAAATCTCAACTAAAATAAAGAACTCATCCCAAACTTGTCTGCATACATGCCTTAAATAAAAAATCAGAAAACTAATGTCAAACAAAATCTACGATATTAGTTAAGGAATAAATAAGTCCATATATAATATACTTCAAATTCTACCAGAAAGGTGCAAAATCAAAGTGAAGACAAAAAATGCTGAATAACAAAAGTCTAAGGATTCGTAGAGGCTACATTAAAAATAAGACTGTAATAACAGAGCTAAAGTTTCATGGTTCGATGTCCCACGAAGCACTTAATAGTAGGGACATACAAAGGAACTTGTTATTTATGATCAGCATATCGCTGTCATTGCTATTTATAAATGAAGGACTTGGACATGCAACACCTTTATCATATGTAGAGCAGTGAAAGAGAAAAACTTGATTTTCCAGGATGAGCTCAAAAATCAGTTCCCTTGCAATGGAGTTTACTGTGTTATCTTGCCTGAACTTCACAATCAGGCATTTTAGATATTAGGCTTCTCCTAACAAAGCTTTCTTGCTATAACTTTTATTTTTGTATGTCAAACTTTGTATTAGAAGTGAAAAGAATATTACATATCATTTTATAAATACTCCAAGATAAGGTTAAATGCTAGAAGCATGACATAATTTAACACTACACATATGGACATTCACATCAACATGCATATATAATTTAAAAATATGATTGTATCTAGATCTTGGCACTCATCAAAAAACCTGAACACATCTCGAGATGCACCAATATTAAAACTCAAAACATACCATACACAACAAATATAAGGGTTGTATTAGCATATAGAACAAAAATTAAACCTCTAACATACACATAGAACTCAATGGGTTAAGAGAAGCTGCAGGAAATAAGCAATACAGAGTAAGTGAGACTTGAAAGGAAATAAGTTAAGTCTAATTTAGACTTTGTACATGTCATGGCTGTTAAGGCAATGACATTTTAAACCAAAATCTTTATATATTTTCATGTAGACGAACAAGCATTCGATAGGGTAAATCACAATATGATGCAAAAAAACTCAAGGTTAAGGCTCATGGCAAAAAAACTCAATGCAAATCATAATATGTGCCATATAGTGTTCTTTTTTGTATTTATAAACACTCATAAACAAAACTCAAAATAGATGCAAAAATCATATATATATATATATATATATATATATGAGATTCGAGGTAGGTAACATTCTATTTTGGATGGATGGACCCAGGTAGTAAAGGTTGTAACCACCTCACCATGTGGCATAATTAAGGTTGAGGTCTTTCAATTCTTCTTAGAGGAAAATGCAGTCACTTACAAAGATTTTCAAGTTTGCATGCGTATGTTTCAAAACATATATGGATGACTTACACTGTCATTTTCATCCATAGTTTTGGTTTTATAGCTTATTAGAATGAATTTGTATATCACATTGGTCCTGTTAGCAACCCTCGTTGGGTGAAGAACATAATTAAAAGAAAAAAGAAAAAAACAAAGGAAGCAAACAAATATAACAAAAAGACATTTTAAATATAAAAAATATTAAATATCATTAGATCCATTGCATGTGTAAGACAATTTTTGTATATACTTTTAGTAAAGCAACTAATAAGGTTAAACTTAAATCACTTAGTTATAGTTACAGAAGATTAAGCAAAGATTTAAATCAGCATTCTTGTATAAGAAATATGATTTAATTATAGTAATATTAGAGGCATTTTCTATGTCATAATGTATAAAACTGTGGATCTACCGTTAGATTTGGAATGAAAGGGAGTCGTCACCAATCCTTTTTAGTTAGGTGTAATTGGCAACATGATTAAAGCTGATATGCAAAACAGAGATTAAGTTCGAAAGTCGGTTGCGCATGAAGAAAGTTGTAGTACTCCCAAAACGCTCATCCAATAGATGGTACCAGTTTGATTTCAAATTATCCAAGCTTTGATCATCATTATCATTTTTTTTGCTTTACCAAATATTTTATGAATTTTATTAGAACAGTAAAACCTTTCAAAATTTTTTTGTTTATTTATTTATTATTCGAAAACATTATTTACAAAGATTTTTTTTGAAAAGATTTTTTTTTTAAATATATTTTTCAAAAAATATCAATGGCAAAAATAATTCTCTTTTTTTTTTTAAACTAGAAATAATAAAATATAAAAAATAAAAAAATGGGTTAGAAATAAAATAAAATCAAATAAAATCAAAAAATAAAATAAAATAGAAAAAAGAAAACTTGCGATCGGGTCAGGTTAAGATGCGGGTAGGCGCGCGAGTTTTCGGGTCAACATGTGGATCCTAAGCGACCAAAACGACATCATGTAAAGGTAGTATATAAGGCACCCTTTAGAGTTTTTTTCTTAGAAACCCTAGAGCCTTCTCTTTCTAATCCCTAAAAACCTCTGACCTCTCTCTAGAAAACCCATTGAAAAGTTTAACCGAAAACTAAAAATCTCATCGATTTTTGGAAAACCTTTCAGATTCTGAAAATCTTGCCAAAACTTCAACCTTTGCTGGAAAATTCCACCAAAAAATTCAAAGTTCTTCAGAAAACCTAATATAACCCAAAAATATTCAAAAAAAATCCAAAAAAAATTTCCAAATAGTTCTAAGCCTTCCTCGAACCTTCTACAACCTTAAATTCACCTCAAGAAACTTGAATTCACTCTAAAAACCACAAATTAACTCCAAAATCCTAAGATTAAATTTCAAAACCCTTTCTACCTGAAATTTCTCAAACATTTTTTTAGTGATTTTTCTCTGCTTTTCTGTGTGTCATTTAGTGTTAGAATTCATCCAATTTATAGGCAGTTCTAAGGATGATTTTAGGGAAACCGACAGAATCAATCCCAAGCTTGAATCCTGAGATCGAATTATGCCCTAACGAGATTTTAGGTCCCAAAATTTTAGCAATCACATTGATTTGATTTTGTGTTGACCAAAAGGATTTTGATCTTGATTTTTATCTACGTGCAAGTTGAATAAAAATGAAGGTAGCAAAGAAAAGGAACAGAAAAGGAAACAAAAATAAAATAAAATTAAAAATAATAATAATAATAATAATAATAAAAGCATCTGATTGGACCTAGATGGGTCAAATTGGCTCGAACCAAGATGGACCTGATCGAAATGGGCTTAATTGGGCTCAGATAGAAATGACCTCAGACCAGAATGACCCAATTGGGCCTGGACCAAAATAGGTGTCTACAGTTGCCCATCTTTGCACATCTTTGTCAGATAAGGATGTTGCAAAGACCTAGACACCCACTCTGGTCTCAAATTTGAAAAATGACTTGGACTGAGCTAAGGTCAAGTGATCGAGATTAAATCATGAGTCAAATGAAGCGACTAGGATCGAGTTGAGGTCAAAAATAAATAATCAGGACGGAGCCATGAATCATAAGAAATGATCTGGACTGAACCAAGATCAAGTGATCAGGATGAAACCACAAGTTAAAATAAAACAACCAGGATCGAGTTGAGGTTAAAAATGAATGATTGGGACGAATCAATGAATCATAAGAAATTATATAGAACTCACGAATCATAAGAGATGATCTAAACTGAGCCAATATTAGGTGATCGAGATAAAACCATAAGTAAAAATAAAGCGACTAGGATCGAGCTGAGGTTGAAAATAAATGACTAGGATGAAACCACGAATCATAAGAAATAATCTAAACTAAGCCAAGATCAGGTGACTGGGATGAAACCATAAGTCAAAATAAAATGATCAGGTTCGAGTAAAGATTAAAAATGAATAATCGAGACAGAACCACGAATCATAAAAAATGATTTGGACTGAGCCAAGATCAAGTGACCTGGATGAAACCATAAGTTAAAATAAAATGACCAGGACCAAGTTGAGATCGAAAATGAATGATCATGACAAAACTAAGAATCATAAAAAATGATATGGACTGAGCCAAGATCAGGTGACTGGGATGAAACTACAAGTCAAAATAAAGCGACCAAGATTGAGTTAAGGTCGAAAATGAATGATCGAGACAGAACCATGAATCATAAGAAATAATATGGATGAGCCAAGATCAGGTAATCGGGACGAAACCACAAGTCAAAATAAAAGCGATCAAGATCGAGTCAGGTTGAAAATGAATGATCAAGACGAAACCGTGAATCATAAAAAATGATCTAGACTAAGTTAAAATTAAGTAAATGTA